GAGAGAGAGAGAGAGAGAGAGAGAGAAGAGAGAGAGAGAGAGAGAGAGATGAGAGAGGGAGAGAGAGGAGAGAGAGAGAGAGAGAGAGAGAGAGAGGAAGAGAGAGAGAGAGAAGAGTGAGAGAAGAGAGAGAGAGAGAGAGAGTGAGGAGAGAGAGACAGAGAGAGAGAGAGGAGAGAGAGAGAGAGAGAGAGAGAGAGAGAGAGAGAGAGAGAGAGAGAGAGAGAGAGAGAGAGAGAACAACATCGTCGGCGGAAAATGGATCTTCCGAGTCAAACAACTCCCAGGCGAAGCTCCACTGTTCAAGGCACGATACGTGGCGAAGGGTTTCACCCAGAAGGAGTATCTCGACTTCTTCGAAACATTCTCGCCCACGGCCAAGCTCCCGACTGTGCGCGCTCTTCTTGATATAGCCGCTCGCGGCAACTTCGAGATCAAGTCCATGGACGCCTCCTCCGCCTTTCTCCAAGGCCAGCTCAAGGAGGATGTTCACATGGAACGCCCACCGGGGTTTCCTGGCACCTACCCTGCCAACACAGTGTGGAAGCTGAAGCGCCCAGTCTATGGCCTCAAGCAGGCTCCTCGTGAGTGGCACAATAAGGTGCAGGAAGTCCTCCTCGCACTTGACTTCCATCCCTCTGCCTCAGATTCCAGTCTCTTCGTTCGTCACTCCTCCGAGCCCTTCTACATCCTCGTCTACGTCGACGACTTCATTCTAGCCGCCAGAGAGCCAGCCGACATGGCAGCTGTCCAGTCTTCTCTCAGCTCCGCCCTTCTCATGAAGGATCTTGGTGACCTCAAGAACTACCTGGGGATGGAGATCACTCGTGACCGCCAGGCTTGCACGATCACCCTCTCCCAGAGGTCCTACATCGACAACCTTCTCAAGCGGTTCGACATGGACTCCAGTAACTCTTTCTCCACTCCACTCCCACTACAGCATTAGCTCACGGCCCCTCCAGTTCCTTCTCATGACGCCTGCAAGGACCCGTACCCTGAGCTAGTCGGTTCCCTCATGTATGCCATGATGTGCACTCGACCAGACTTGGCTTTCCCGGTTAGTGTCCTCTCTCGGTACGTCTCCCCCGGACGCTACACTGCCTCCCATTGGTCTGCAGCCAAGAGGGTCCTCTGCTATCTACAAGCCACTAAGTCTCACATCCTCACTCTTGGTGGTACCTCTCCAGTCAAGCTCGAGGGATACACAGACTCCTCATGGGCCGATGACCAGACTGACAGACGCTCCTCCCAAGGGTACTGCTTCACCCTTGGTAGCGGAGTCATCAGCTGGCGCTCCACTCGGTCTTCTGCAGTCTCCTTGTCGTCCTGCGAGGCCAAGCTCTACGCGGGCACAATGGCTGCTCAAGAGGCACGCTGGCTCTCCTTTCTCCTCGCTGAGTTAGGCTACCCCCAGCAGTCGCCCACCCTGTGGTGTGACAACCAGAGTGCCATTCATCTCACCAAGGATCCTGTGTTCCACTCTCGCACCAAGCACATTCGAACTTCGTCATTTCTTCATCCGAGATCTTGTTCAGAGTGACCAGCTGACGGTACGGTACATCGCCTCAGATTGCAACCTCGCCGACCTCTTTACCAAGGCTCTCGGCAAGGCTGACCACCATCGCCTTCTCCGTTCCATGGGGCTATGTGCTCCTTGACCGGGTTTGCAGTCTATGGGGGTGTGTTAGAAATAGACTGCAAATACCACTTTTGTATTTGTACTTTTATATCCTAGTTTAGGTTGTGAATGTTCTAGTGGGTTGGGGTGTACTCACAAATCCCAACCTCACCCAATTGTGATCCCCACAATCTCCAATTACCCAATTGGAGATTCCGGAGATCCCAATGGGGATTCCCTCCAATTCCCCCTTCATCCATTCTCTCTCACCTTGCCATGTACTTATAGAGCCTTGGGCTCCTTACCTAATCAATCATTTCAACTTTATTTCTTACACCTTTGATTGCCTTTGTACCAAAAAGTACGCTTGATGATCACCATTGACTTCTCAGCGCAAACCATACACCCAGTTATCATGTTGCTTACCATAATCTTGATAAAAAATCACCCTTGACATGGTACTAAACCTTAATACATACCATATACATGGTATATAGTGTTAGGCCTAGTGCTTACCTTAGCCTCGATACAAAACTATAACATTCGTACTGTTCCATGATTGCTGCCAAAACATTAGACTTTGTTCATGCCATACACTCGGGACTGAATGTTAGGCTTGGTAATTACCATTCACCTGCGGCATGACCTTAGGCATGGTACTTACGATAGACTCTGTATTAAATCCGCTACTTGATAATTACCACGACTTGGCACCAAGCCTTAATGCTTACCATACAACTGGTACTTCGTGTTTTCCTTGTGCTGACCATAGTCTCGGTACTAAGCCTTACACTTGGTGCCTACTATTAACGTGGTACTGAACCTTAAGACTTGGTACGTACAATAATCTTGGTACTATGCTTGGTCCCACTATACTATGCTTTGGCTTGGCCTAGTATTTGTCATCTCTGTACGAAACTTTAGACTTGGTAGTTATCACACACTCGGGACTGACTGTTAGTTTTAGGCCGCATTCTGAAGTTTGCCCATCCGACGAAGTTTGCCTATGAAACTCTGAATGTCTAAGAACACTTATTAATGTTTACCCACTCGATTCGAAATTTGCCATACGAACACAGACGGCCACAACCCTGCGATGGGGTCCACGTCCGCATGTGAACTGGGTGGCGATGAAAAAATGCCAGGCATGCGACCCACTTTCCCAGCGTGGGAACCCTCGGTGGAACGTAAATGTGTCTACAGTGACCACAATCTCCCAGCGTTGTCAGAAACGGCAATTCTTCAATGAAGTCAAAACCAACCCGAAACTGCCGCGAGTTTCTTCTTTTTTTATTGGGCAGAGCTGACACATTCGCAGGGCTGCTCGTTAGGTTTGGACGGCTGTAAGGTTTTGCTCTATGTCGCTGGCAGTGTCGCGCAGTCCTTGAACGTACTTTGTGACTGGGCGGGACTGAACCCTGTTCGCATTTCGTCTCCAGGGCTTGCACAAACAATCGCATAGAGGGTTGAGGTCGGATGGGTAAAGTTGGGTCCTACCAAGTTTGCCCACCAAGTTTGCCCACCAAGATGCCCAAAACCGAGTCAGATGGGCAAAGTTGGGGATGGGTAAACTTCATAACGCAATCTTAGTACTTACCACAGACTCGGCACTGAGCCAAAGGTTTGGTACGTACCATTGACCTGAGACATTACCTTATTATGGTAGTTACCATCGATGTGGGACATGACCTAAGGCTTCTTGTAGCTTGACTTGGTACTTACGATCGACTTGGTACTAAACCCTATGCTTGATTACTAACACTAACTTGGTACATACCATACACTTGGAACTGATCGTTAAGTACTTATTCCAGTGTCGTTAACCAAAAGCATGGTACTTACCGTTGACCTGAGACAATATCTTAGGCTTGATACTTTTCATACACTTGGGACTGAACACTTGACATTGTACTTACTGTATAATAGACTTGATACTAAAGCAAATGCTTTAAAATCACTACGGACTTGGTACAAATCCCAAATACATACCATATGCTCGATATGGTGCTATGTCTAGTGCTTACCATAGTCTCAGTACTGAACCTTGTACTGAACATAGACTTTTTAATTACTCATACACTCAGGATTTTTTTTACCCAGGACTGATTATACCCTGTCACTGCAAATAAGTAGCATGCCGCTAGCTCCTACTGTGCATGTGAACAACTGCACATCTATCATTGTAATCTGCTGACTCGCAACATAGAAAGGCCCGGAGTTGTGTGATAGCATGTAAGCGAAGGGCGCTGAGACCTATCACATGATGCAGATTGACGTATAGCTGAAGGGGAATAATGCGGCATCCAACAAAGTTATGCTGAGGATTCATGATGCACCCCTTTTTGTAACGCAAAGCATTAAACCGTTTCCTATGGTTTCTTATGGTTTCTTACTATGGTATTCTATGCATATGCCCAGTCATATGTTTCAGCCGTATTCATAATTTGGGTCCTTTTTCTTAACCATATATTTTTAGCCATTTCGGTTTCCTCGTAAAGTGTGTTAAGAATCTGACTGATTCCATGAGGTTCTTGTTTTCCTTCTCCTTTCGTGTGTACCATTTTCTTTTGTTTCAGCATTCTAGAGTAATAACCTCCTTTGTTATCTGTTCACCCTTCACCTGTTTTGTATGTCTTCGATTTCCTATTGGCACATGCAGAAATACGTATATGTTTCGCCTTTGGGTAGCATACCGTAATGTGTTTCATCTGCGTCGAAGATGCTTTTTCCTTGTTTGAAAGGAACATTAGTTTGTTTAGTAAGGACCCAATTTGTGGTGTATGGTCACTTACTTGGTGGATGAGACTGTGCTCTTGCTGTGTGCCGTTTCGATTTCCAGCTGCTGTGTGCCGTTTCGATTTCCAGCTGCAATAACCTCTCAATGCTCATGCTGAACCTGTACCTTTCCTTCGTCTGTATGATGTGTCTCCCCCTCCCAACAGAGAAAGTGATGCCTATCGTGATTAGCACAAGGATCCTGATGCTCTCCAAGTACGACTCCAACACACCCACGAGGGTTGTTGCTAATCTGCACATTAAGCACTCGCTCCCAACACTGCTGCCACACAAACCAATGCCAAACCTGCAGCTGTCACATCCACTGCTGCCACACCCACGGCTGCCACACCCACTGCTGCAACCTACTCCTGCTATACCCAAAGCTGCCACACCTGCTGCTGTTACATCGGTGCAACTACACACAATGCTGCTGCCACACCCACTACTACTACCCACGCCACTGCTGCCGCACCCACTTCTTCTACCCGCAATACTGCTGCCACACCTACCACTATTACCTGCACTGCTGCTGTTCGTACTGCTGCTACGTCCGCCACTGCTAGACCCACTACTATAGCTACGCATGCTGCTGCAGCTCCAACCGCGACCACCAATTCTCCTGTGCCCGCAGCTACATTCCTGCCATTGTTGTGCCGCTTCCCCCTTCCCCCACCCCCCCAGCCGCCCATGGCAGTCCCATCAGGAACAGTAGACACCGGTGCAAGGCGCAGGATACGGCCAAGGGGAATGGGGCGAAGGTGGACAAGGATAAGGGGAAGAGGTAGACATGTAGATGGTGGACGAGGGGAAGGAAAAGGCGGATGAGGCAGAGGGCAAAGGGTAAGGCGAGCGCAGGGGATGGGGAAGGTGGATGAGGGGAAGGGCAAAGGGCAAGGCGGGCGTAGGGGATGTGGAAGGCGGATGAGGGGAAGGCCAAGGCGGACAAGAGGAAGGGTTAGGTGGATGGTGGTTAGGAGGGAGGAGAGGTGACGGGTAGTTAGGTGAGGGGCAGGAAGGGAGAAATGAGAGGCAACGGCAAGCAGAAACAGGGGAAGTCATTGGTTAGACGTCATGAAGGCAGGTGCCGCGGGTAGGTGGCGCGCATCATGGGAGAGTTGCATGACCCCTGATAAGCATAGGCAAACAACGTGGCACAACACCTGTGGAAGGTCATGAACAGCAGCACGGCAATGGGGGAGAGGCAGGAGGAGCTGGGCGAGAAAGGGAGGGAGGAGGTGGAGAAGGCGAAAAGAACATGGAGAAGCAAGCACCTGTAACCCAGATGCAGATTGATGCATCCCAAATCATCTGCACGCAGCTGCAGTTACTTACACTAGAGAGTGTGAAGGTGCTTCAAATGTTGGAGAAGTCATTGAAGAGTACACTTGGCCTCCGGTGCCAACACAGCTGATATCCTTACGAAGGCGCTTGCGCCTAAAGATCATCAGCCGCACTGTGTACAGCTTGGTCTAGTTCTTGTAGCTTCTCACTTGCTAGGGCCCTAATGTATACTTCCTCTTATATTAACGTGACTGGCCTTGTGGCTCTAGTTCCAGTGGCTGGACTAGTAGTGCCGCCCTGTATTACTCTTGTTTCATTTGTACCCTTGCCGACTGGTCTTCGGACCCTTGCCTCAGAGGTTGGACTAGTAGTGCCATCCTGAGCTGCGTGTCCCTTGCCCTGCACTGCCCCTCATCTAGCCTAGGGGGTGTGTCAAACATATATGTAGATGTTACTATAGGCTAGATAGGTGCGTACTCTTAGAGAGTACAACCCCTTAGCGCAAAACCACCGTGTATCTCTCATTCTAGTCAATTTGTTACTCTGAGAGTTACTTTACAATAAGCACTTCTCGGGTAGTTCTACCTGTTGCACTGATCATTGTATTTTCCTTATCTAATATACTGTTCGTACAGTACAAGGATCACAAGTCCTCCGCTGACTTAAACTCTCCCAGCTTCCACAGATCCTGGTCCTTGGGTAATTCTCTAATACGCAGATATTTCTTCTACAAGGCCTTGGCCTTTCTGAAGCCGTGATTCCGTGCTACTCTGCAAGTTCACCCATAACAACCTCTGGTTTGAGTAACAATATGTTACAACTTCGCTCATCGTTCCATCCCATCTTGTCGGGAGATTCGAGGCGAGTCGACTAGAGAAGACTTGTTGGTCCACGGCACTAGTGCGTGCTGCCTGTCAGCAGTCACATCATATTCTAGGGCTGATCACCACTTGCCTGCACAACAACCCAATCTCCCAACCTCCACATGCGCGGCTCCCATTCGCTACCTGGCCTGCCCCGCTGGTTCGGATACGCCCTCACCCCTATGGCTCGAAGCGCTCTTATTCACCTCTCGCGTCGCGATGTTCGTCGCAGAGGCACGGCCCTTGGCAGCAGATATTGTGGCAGGGGCTGGCGATGTCTTTGTTTCGTTGACGGCACTCTGCCACCTTCCTCTCGCCCGCATTCCTTCACCGTTCCAGCCGCACTCGTCTCACCTCCCTTCTCGCCTGGCCCCCGTCCTCTGCTATTCGGAGTGCTCGTCCCGTCCCGCCACTCTCGCCCGCGCCCACCTCATTGGCCGCGTGCAAGCCTCCTAGCCGGGACTTCCTGCCGCCCATGGTATGTCGGCCGACAGCCCACCGCCGATATCGCCGCTCAGCCGGCAGACGCGTCCTAGCGTCGACGGTCCGTTAACAGATCCGTCTGATGGCGAGTGGCTGACGGCTAAGGGACGGGCCGGCCGGCAGGTGGGGGAGCAGCAGACGGGGGAGCGGCGGTGGCGCGCGCGGTGGCAGGAAGCGGCGGTGGCGGGGGCGAGGCCGCAGGAGCGGTGGGGGCACTCGGCTGTGGTGTGGGACGGCAAGCTGGTCGTGTTCGGGGTGAGTGGAGGGGAGGGCGTGTCGCTGGTATTGGCGAGTCAGCGGTGGCGTGGGAGGAGGCACCTGTGGGCGGGCGGCTGCTGCAGTGGGTGGGTGCTGAGCTGTGTGCAGACGGGCGAACGTGCGGGTGGGGGGGATGGGTGTAGCTGGCACAAGGTAAGGGCGGCAGATAGTCAGCGGTAAGGACGCGGTTTGAAAACCACTTATACGTGCGTGCGGCAGTGCATGCCCTCATTTTCCAGTGTACCGAACGAAACCTCCGCATGCCTGTCTCACCTCCAGCTTCCCCCCCTCCTTCTTCCCAACCATCCCCTCCTCCCCTCACCCCCCCCTCTCCCCCCCGCCCCCCCCAGGGGTGTTTCGGCGCGCAGCACTTCTCCACGGTGCTGGCGCTGGACCTCGCGGCGCTCGCCTGGTCGCCGCTGTCGGCGCACGGCTGCCTGCCACCGCCCTCCGACTGCCACTCCGCCACGCTGCTCTCGCACAGCCGCATGCTCGTCTTCGGCGGCACGGACGGCACGCGCAGGCTGCACTGCGCGCACCTGCTGCACCTGCCCTCCAGGCGCTGGACGCGCGTGGGGGGCGGGGCAGGGGGCGGGGACGTACGGGCAGGGTGGGTGGAGGGGGGGAGTGTGATTGAGGTGGGCGGTGTGATGGAGGAGGGGGGAGTGGATGGGAGTGGGATGGAAGGAAGCGAGAGGGGGACGCAGGGAGGCGGAGGGGCGATGGAGAGTGGCGCGAGCAGCATGGAGACAGCAGTGGCGGGGAGGGGAGGAAGGAGGGCGCAGGTAGCGAGGAGGGGCAGTGGCGAGTCGCATGTGTCGAGCAGCCGGGGGGCGAGGCACGGTGGGGTGGGGGGAGGGGGTGATGGAATCATGTGGCTCATGACACAAGACAGCTGTGACTATAACGATGGGAGCAGCATGGCAGTTGGGAGGAGTGGAGGATTGGAGCGAAACGCCATACCAGAAGACGATCAAATTGCTGCTGTGCACCCACCTGCAAGGGAGAGCCACGTGGCAGCTGTTGTGTGGCTGCCACGGAGAAGGGGGCAGTTGGAGGGAGGGGGAGGGAGTATGGTGGAGTGGAGGGAGACGGTGGTGGTGTTCGGTGGCACTGGGGACGAGGAGGGAGGGGCGGGCGAGAGCGGGTGGGAGGGGGAGGGAGGGGGAGAGGGGCGCCGCATGGACAGGCAAGGAGCGGACGAGTTGGGGGGCGGTGAGAGAAGCGCAGGGGGAGGCAGCGCGGGTGGCGGGGGGGGGGAGGGCGCGGGCAGGGGGCGGTACCTGAACGACCTGTGGGGCCTGGACGTGCGCTCCATGGCATGGTGCCGCCTCCATGGGGCCCATGAAACGCCACTTCACGGGCATGCGCCATGTGGCGTGCACCACCACATGTCACGTGGCACGGCACGCCACCCTCCGCCCTGTGCGCGCGACAGCCACAGCATGGTGGCGATGGGCGGGGCGGGCGAGCAGCAGGCGCTGGTGGTGTTCGGAGGGGACTGCGGGGCGCGCTACCTCAATGACCTGCACGTGCTGCACGTCGCCTCGCTCTCCTGGCGCCCGGTGGGTGCCGCGCACGGGGGGGGCGGTGGGATTAGAGGTGGTGGTGTGAGTCGCTGTGGGCACCTGGGCGTGGCATGATTTTTCAGTCAAATGCACGTCTTGCACACCATCCTGCTGCTTGCTCTGCTTGCCACCCCGACTGTGTGCTCCCCCTCCACGCCTATAACCCCCCCACAGCCCCCTTCATCTCTCCTCTCTCCCACCCTCCTTCTCGCACTTCCCTTCCCTCTCTCTCTTCCTTCCCGGCACCCCTTCTCCCTCGCAGATATCACCGGCAGCAGGAGCGGAGTGGCCGGCGCCAAGAGCAGGCCACTGTGCCGTCGCTGTCACGCCCTCCCAGGTACGCGCCTTGCCTCTCGCGTGGTCCGCCTCAGAGCCTCCCACCGCTCCGATTGACCGCCACCGCACTGATCAAGCCAGCAGGTTGTGTGTGTCATGCACCTCCGCTGCCGCCCTCATCACCCACACCCCTCCCTTGCACTGTCATCCCTACCCACTCTCGTCCTACTGTTCCTTGGGCTCTCTGCCTGCCTCTACCATCCGTCCATTTCTCTCTCCAACTACTCCCCCCCCCTCCCTCTCCAACAATGGAGAGTGGCTGCCCACCACGCCTCCACGCCTGCCCTGTTCTGTTCTGTTCGTGCACCACACCTCCTTCGCCTCCCCTGCTTCTGCAACAGTGAACTTACCCTTCCCGCCCTCCCCGCCCCTCTTCTCTGTTGCTCCAGATGCTGCTGCTGGGAGGGGTGGGCGACACTGGCTGCTTCACTGACACGTGGCTCTTTGACTTGCCCTCTGCCACGTGGCACCAGCTGCTTCCACCAATCACAGCCAGCCCTGCCGGACTGGCACGAGCCGCGGAGGGGGAGCAGGTGGGTGCAAGCGGTGCAGCGGAGGAGGAGGAGGCGCAGCAGCAGCCGCGGGCGTGCTTCTCCCACACGGCCAGCCTGCTGCCCGATGGCACCGTGGCTGTGTTCGGGGGGTGAGAGGGCGGGCAGTGAGGAATGGGAGGGATGAAGGGTGTGACCTGGATGCCCTGCACGGGGGATGCCATGCACGGGGGATGCCATGCACGGGGGATGCCATGCACGGGGTGATGCCATGCACGGGGTGATGCCATGCACGGGGTGATGCCATGCACGGGGTGATGCCATGCACGGGGTGATGCCATGCACGGGGTGATGCCATGCACGGGGTGATGCCATGCACGGAGTGATGCCATGCACGGGGTGATGCCATGCACGGGATGATGCCATGCACGGGTTGATGCCATGCACGGGTTGGTGGCATGCACGGGTTGGTGGCATGCACGGTTTGGTGGCATGCACAGGTTGGTGGCATGCACGGGTTGGTGGCATGCACGGGTTGGTGGCATGCACGGGTTGGTGGCATGCACGGGTTGGTGGCATGCACGGGTTGGTGGCATGCACGGGTTGGTGGCATGCACGGGTTGGTGGCATGCACGGGTTGGTGGCATGCACGGGTTGGTGGCATGCACGGGTTGATGGCATGCACGGGTTGGTGGCATGCACGGGTTGGTGGCATGCACGGGTTGGTGGGGTGCATGGGGTGATGGGGTGCATGGGTTGGTGGGGTGCATGGGGTGATGGGGTGCACGGGGTGATGGGGTGCACGGGGTGATGGGGTGCACGGGGTGATGGGGTGATGGGGTGCATGGGGTGATGAGGGTGTGGGCGCCACCGTTTCATTCTTCCCTTTCACTGCTGCTCCCCCACTGCCGCCTCCTGTTAAGACCAGCCTTCGCCTCTGCTTGCTGCACGCACTCGCTCACCCTGCTGCTCGAAGTTCTCCTTGTGTATGGTGTTTCACTTGTTTCGATACGTTTCTTTGCACTAAAGGTTTGTTTCTGCATATAATCGATTCTCTCCTCCCGACATACTGTGTGCTGCATGTGAGCAGGTGTGGGCGGGACGAGCAGCCGTGCAGCGACCTCATGCTGCTGCGCCTGCACTTCTCGGTGAGGAAACGCCGCCACGGCTTTAGTCCTTGCCGCGGCTTCAGTCCTTGCCAGCGGACCTCTGCTGCACACTCAATTGAAGCACTCCTTCTGTGTCTATAAGCCCTCCTGTGCCTCTAGCCCCTCAGCATCCTCTTGGCCCTTCGTACCATCATCTTGTCTTTTCACTCACACTCCTGCCCTTCTTCCCCCTGTCCCCCACAATTACCTTTCCTCAAATGCTCTCTGCCCCCTCCGCCCCCCCATCCCCTGCATCCGACCCCACCAGGCCGCCAGTCCTCCGCCTCTCTCCCCGCGCGCCCCCTCATCCCCCTGGCTGCCCGCCCCTGCTACCACCAGCAGCCCCCCTGCCGCTGCTGCTGCCAGCTGTGGTGAGGGCGAGGAGAGGAGCTTCGTTGACGAGATAGCGGAGATACTCAACCAAGGTCAGGGGCTCTGGCGTCGACAGGGGTTGCGACCGAGAGGGGTTGCGGCCGAGAGGGGTTGTGAGAGAGAGGGGCTGTGGGCGAGAGCCACACACTGTGTGGGAGGGTGCATGCATGCATCCAACCTCATGATCATACTGACCCATGCATGTGCTACCTTACCATCCAAGCATGCGTGCATGTAAGGCTGTGCAGGGATGCTGCTTCGTGGAATCTCAAGCCCTGTATCCGTGCATTGAGGGGCGCTGCCAGTACAGCAGGTGTGCGGTGCGCATCGCGTGGGTGATGGCACTCCCTCTCGTGTCTCACGTCGCCCTCAAGGGCCATGCCTCTGTGTGTGCATGTTCCTTGTGCGCTCTCTCCTTTTCCTTCCCAATCTTCCGCTCCTTCCCCTCGGCTCCCCTTGGATTGCCTTCTCTCCTCCCACGCTCGTCAGGTGCTCCATCCACCGCCCTACCAAGCACCGTTCTCTGTAGCAGCCTGCCCCAGTTGCACCCTGCGTGCGTTGTGGGGGAAGACGCAGCCCCAGCAGGAGGGGGTGGGCAGCAGGGGCGGCCTCGGGGGCGGCCGCGGCGGTACGTGGTGTCAGAGGCGGGGGAGCGGATGGTGCGGCAGGCGCTGAGGGCCAGAGAGACAGGGGGAGGCGGGGAGGTGGGCGGTGGGAGTGCGGGGGTCGCCGTGAGGGAGACAGGCAGTGCTCTGGCGGCGCGAGAGGTGGCAGCAGGTGGCGATGGCAGTTTGGGGAGAGGGGGGGAGGAGCGGGGTGGTGGGGGCGACGATGGGGGCGATGTGAGTGGGTGGGGGGCGGCGGTGAGAGGCGGTGCAGCCACGGCGGGCAACAGTGCCAGCAGGGGTGCTGGCAGGCGGGCCAAGCTGCAGGCCAAGCGAGCAGGCAGCGGAGGCAAGGGACGGGTTGGCGAGGTGCGGGGAAGGAGTGGGGCGGGAGGGAGTGGTGGAATAGGTGGGAGTGGTGAGGTGGGTGAAGCGAGTGGAATGGGAGAGGGTTGTGGGGCTTGGCTGTGTCGGTCGGAGCTTGAGGCTGCTGATGAAACTCAGCATGCCGCCTGTCCTCCTGCTGCTGCTGCCACAGACCGTGAAACGCTGGTCGCAGCTCAGCAGCAAAGTGGCATGGCATGGGCGCACAAGGGTAGCAAGTCTGCTGCAGATACAGCTTCTGCTGCTGCTCTTGCCAGTGGTAGCATGCTGCACGCTGGTGGCTCATTCAAGGACGGCACCCTCCCAGTCTCCTTGCACATGCCGGCTCCCCTCTGCGCCACGCCCGCTGCACCACTGCAGCTCCACTCGCCAAATGGCCACCCTCCCGAGCACCACCTCGCCGTGCCACTACCCCACTCCACCCGTCCAATCGTGGCGCTCCATGGTCGCCCCGTGGGAGGGCAGACAGCCCACGGCACGGCAGGCTGTGGCGGTGGGGCAGGGCAGCGCGGAGGAGAGGTGGGGGTGCGAGGGGACGGCAGGGGCGAGGGGGGGGTATGGCAGGGAGGCGAGGAGGGGGAGCAGGGCGCGGTGGCGATGGCGGGGGAGGTGGGGGCGGGTGCTGCTGCGCTGCACGGCGGGCAGCGCTGGCCGTCGCACGCGCGCCTGCTGCACCTTGGCATCGGCCACGTCGTGTGCTGCCCTGTGAGCCACTGCCTCTTGCCTCCCATTCCTTTCGCTGCAGGATTGGTGAAGTGGTAAGCACATGATAGATACACCCACCATCTCTTTCACCTGCCTTAAGTGTGGACGATCCCGGAATGATTGCGATAGGATGTTCTGCAAAAGACTTCTGATGACTTCCTTGGCTTCTCACTTGACCCTGCTCTCTCTTCTCCACACTACCCTTCCTCGTGATCGCCTGCCAACCCTCCCGCCTGCCCTCGCCAGTCAGGGGCGTCCCTATCGGTGCGGGTGGATGGCCACTTTGACGGCGGAGTGACGCTGGCAGCACGGGTCAACGGCCACACGCTCACTGGCGTGCTGCTCGCACCCCCCGCCGTGAGTCACCCTTTGGCGTTGAATCCAGGCGCTGTTAGCGCCTCTGCCAGTGCATGCGCAGTGTCGTACTTTAGCCATCCATGCCCCACAAGGCTACGCATCCTGTCCTTGGGCTTTCAAATGAGACCTCCTTATCCTCATGTGTTGTTGATTCTTTCTCGTCCAACACATCCCCCCCTCCCCACCCATATTTCCCCTCTTCCTCCCCCCCCCCCCCGTTCGACCTCTCTCCCTCCCCTCTCAGCTGCGATCGCTTCTGCTCTCCCCGCCTCCCCCTCGCCCATCCCACGCACCCCCGTCCCTCTCGCCTGCCCTCCCCCCATCCCGGCCCTCATCCCCACCCGCCACTACGCCTGCCACCAATGGCCGCCTCACACCTGCCGCTACCCCTGCTGCAGACTCTGCCGCTGTCAACACCAGAGGCTGTGGCAGTCTCACTGTTCCCAGCACTGGTGGTGGCTCCGCTGCTGCCGTTGTGCTGCTCGCGCCAGCAGCGGTGGCAGCAGCAGCCGCGTGCAGTGTGTCCACGCACTCTGGCCCCACGCCTTCGGCAGCATCCGCTGACACACACACACAGAAGCCCGGTGGTGGCGGCAGGGGTGGCGGGGGGAAAAAGCGACAGCGAGGGGGAGCAGGTAGAGGAGGTGGTTGTGGTGGGGGGAGGGGGGGGCAGAGAGGGAGGGGGAAGAGGGGCAAGCAGAGTGCGGGTGGGGCAGGGGCAGACGAAGCGGAGGAGGCGAGGGAGGGCGAGGTGGCAAGGCGGAGCAAGGCCCGGGCAAGGAAGGGGCAGATGCGGGGCGAGGGGTCGTGGGGAGGCGGAGGGATGGAGGAGAGGGGGAGAGGGGAGGAGAAGGTAGTGCAGGTGGTGATGGCGGGTGGGTGGGTGGAGCAAATGGCAGCGCAGGGGACACAGGAGAGGCAAGGCGTGGCGGTGACAAAGCACGAAGGAGGGGCGAGAAGGGAGGGAGGTGGCAGAGGCGAGTGGGTGAGAGAGGAGCAGCATAGAGAGTATGAGAGGAAAGGCAGACGAGAGGCACTGGTGCCACAGATGCAGGAGCAACAGCAACAACAGCAGCAGCACCTGCTGCAGCAGCATGTGTTGGGTGATGAGAGGGCGGGGCTACATCCCAATGCCGCCCTGCACCCATCACGTGCTGCGGTGCACACGCCACTGCACCTGCCCTCCATGCCATCCCATGCCCCGCGCACAGCACTGCTGCCCCCACAGCACTGCGAAAGCACCATGGCACGCTGCGGCAGTGGCCACGAGTTGACGCACGGGGAAGGGGGAGAGCAGTGGCGAGCAGTGGGGGGCGTCAGTGCACTGCCAGAGGATATGGAGGCGCGTGCAGGAGGAAGGGGGGTGGGGGGGAGAGGGAGAGAAGAGGGCATGCAGGAGAGAGAGCACGATGGCGGGTTGGCAAAGTGGTATGGAGGCATGCATGCGAGCGTGCAGGGAGATGTGCGGCTGCAGTTGCATGCGGATACAGACGGAGGAGAGTCGAGAGGCGGGCAGCATGGCAATGGTATGGAGGCAGGCAAGGGGGGGGCGGGGCTTGATGCTCCTGCTGCGATGGCGACGGCTCACGAGGCTGAGGCCGCCCACGGCGCTGACAGCTCTCGCGCCTTGCACGGCCCTCATGGCCCTCTTGACAATCATGGCGCCCATATCTGCCACGGCGCCCCTCACCCTCGTGGCGCGCACGGCATGAGCAGCATGGAGCAGTGGATGGCGGAGCTGCATGCCGACGTGGACGCTGCACACCAGCATGCCCTGCATGCCACTGCTGGGGGTGGCGCTGCAGGCATGGTGCACGGTATGGCAGCACAGCCGCACGCCCATGGCGACATGTCTCCCGGATTGCATCAGTGGGGCAGCAGCACAGGTGGCAGTGGCAGCGGCAGCGGCAGTGGGGACTGGCAGCTGATCGCATCCCCGCCCTCCCCTCTGCACCTCATGGGCTTTGGCTCCTCCCTCCACTCCCCCTTGCTACACCCTCTCTCACAACCCCTCACTCACACATCCCCCTCCTCCCCTCCCTCGCTGCACCTCTCCCCTCTCTCCCTGCCACCGCTCCTCCTCCCCCCTCTCCACCTCCCCCCCTTCCCCACCTCCGACCACGTGGGGTCATCCCCCACGCCCCACGCGCCCCAAGCCAGCCGCCTCTCGCACTCGCAGGGCAGCGCGCCCAAGGACCGCACAGGGGCAGGCGCAGGGAAGCATGGCCGGCAAGGGGAGGCTGGGAGGGGTCCTGTGGGCGGTGGTGGCACGAGAAATGGCGAGGGGGTGGGCATGCACGATGGTGGTGGTGGCCACAAGGACGGCGAGTCAGGGTCGAATGGGGGTGACAGCCCTCATTTGGAGCTGATCAGGTTCTCTCCTCTGCACTGCTGATTGCACGCACTGCGGGGACTGTGCACCTCTCAGGTGTCAATCAAGTTGTCAAAATTTAGGGATTGAAACTAGTTGAAGTGTTTTGTACCTTTGTACAAACATTGTAGAGAGCTGTGAGTTTTATGGTGTATCAATAATGGAGACAGGCAGCCAAGAGCACACAAAACGGATACCCGTTGAGCACAAGTGGAGCTGAGTGTTAAAATTATATATTGAGTTATATAATGTGTAGGCTTGGTAGATTAGATGTTACTGAACATTGCTGTAGGGGGTACAACACCCCTCCTTGTATCCCCCTCTTCTTTCCTAACTCTCTTTTCTCTCCTCAACTTTTCTCCTTCCTAAACCTCACGCCACTCCATGGCTCCTCCTAGCTAAACCTCATGCCTTTCCTAGCTTCCTAGCTAAGGTAGCCTTCTAACACTGAGGGCGCGTGTAAGGAATTTCCATTCCTTACTGAGTCGTACGTTAGCGCGTACACCCGAACTCCTCGACTCGTCATGTTCAGCCTCATTTGTCGGCCCAACCCTTTCCCGCGTCGCGTCCGGCACTGTCGCCACATTGCCGAACCTACCCACGTTCCGAGGTTATCGCTCAAGCACGCCAACCCCTATATAACCTCGTGCCTTCATTGCAATAGCGACCTTGTATTCTCACCAGGCCCCCAGAAGTCAGGAAATTTTTCCTGATTCGGGAAAAATACAAGGTGTTGAGGGGTATCGGCCCTGATTTGCTAGGGTTTTGTTTTTGGCATTTCCTGAAATTTCAGGGTTTTTTTGTAAGGGATATCTGTCAGCTCAGTTTTTTTTCTGTAAGGGATCCTGAAATTTCGTCTTGTATCTCGCATGGGTTCTGATTTTTTCAAATGCGTGATTTGCGGGTCCCTCCTGAAATTACAGCGATACGCGCATATTCCCTCATAAATCTGGCCTGACTGCCAGGTTCCCGCCTGCGGGCATCGCTTGGTGACTCACATGTTGCCACAATGCCTCACAGCATTGGTCCTTCACAAAGTTTGGTTTGAGGGTCGGCCAGCACACAGTTTGGCTGCATGCGTGGATTGGTTGCACATGTAAATGTTGCCTGAATAGCTAATCATTGTACGCTAGCGATGATGACCCAGCTTCAACACCACACTCCGGTTCGACGTCGACGCGCATGCGCCGCGCTTGTTTCGGTCCGGCCCAGATTCAGGAATCCAGGAAGCCAACTGTGCATGGCTGGCAAAATGTTCGCGCCTCGCCATCGTTCCCTTCCCCCCTGCGTCTTCTTCATATGTTTCTTCCCACTGTTGAAACAGCCACTGCTTCAGCCTCTCCCAGCGTGACCTTTCCCATGCAGTGTCGTTGTTTTACAACCCCTCCGTCACGCGTCTCTGCTCGTCGACCACCCTAGTGAGCCCCGTCCTCATGCCTGAGTCAGGCGACGTGGGATTGGACGACGATGGCGTCGACAGCGGCAGTCACCGTGCCGAAGCCCCCACTGGGCTTGACATGCTCCTTTCAACGCTTGGTAGTTTCCCAAAGGCTCCTTATAACCCTCCGACGAAACAGAACCCCCTATTCGCCTCACAGTCGGTCGCCTCAACTTCTCAAGCTGTTGTCGAGCCGACTTCCGCGCCTAGTCCGGGCCCATCGCTGGCTGATGCTTTTACCTGTAGTCCAGGTTCCGCCACCCCCGTGAAACCTGACGGTCGATACCGGCAAACCACCCTGTGGAGTTTGCCAGGCGGTCAGCCGACAACGCCACGCCCCTCAGCCATGTGCGAAGATGACGATAGCGATGGCGACGACCCTTCCGCTGCATCCGACAAGTCTCGATCGCCTGAGGATGTCTACGGCGAAGCCCTCAGCAGGTTTAATACGCGGTGGTCCGAGCGGTTTCCGTGGCTTATGATTTTAAAGACTGACGCTGGATTCCCTGCGTTTAAATGCAGTCTGTGCCTTGAGCATGCAGGACTCGAAGGGAAAGCCGGCAAACGCGGCACAGGGCTGACGGACGCGCAGACGCAGGCATTCAACAGGCACGCGGGGTCGGCCAAGCATCGCCTAGCCGTGACAAAACAGCAGGCGCTGCTGCAGGACACAACCAACCAGATGCGGATCGACCAGCTTCCCCAAGCCGCAGACCTGGAGAAGGAACGTGTGACAGCGCTGCTTGACGCGCTCTACTTCTGCTGCAAAGGCAACGAGCCGAGGGAAAACTGGATCAGGCTCGTGCGCTACCTCAGCAAACGTCGGCACGAGTACTTTCCCGAACAGACCTATGGCACGTACTACAACAGGTATTGTAGTGTGTTGTTTAATTTTGTTTTGCATGCATCTATCATGCGTGACGAATGTTTATATTTCACCATACTAATTATGCATATGCCCTTCGCTGCTCGCTCTACTCCTGTCTCACCTCAACGCCATCGGTGTCGACCTCCGGCGGGTCGTGGGCATAAGCATCGATGGCACTGCCGTGATGATGGGGTCGAAGGCTGGGCTTGTGACGCGGCTGCGGATGCAGATTCCGCATTTGGTGTCGTATCAATGTATTGCGCACAGGTGAGCCTTGTTAACCGCTATTGTACCTCTGGTTAACTGCGCTGTTGGTTTCCGCATGTGCATTGTGTATTACCCCACTCCCAAGGCCCAATATGTACCATTTTCTGTTCGTTTTACCACCCTCCATAGAGGCACTGGCAGCTAAAGCAGCGGCGGATTCCTTGCTGACGTTCAAGATGATTGATGATGTCATCAAGGAGCTCGCTGAGTACTTCGGACGCTCCGGCCCATGGCACCAGCACTTCTTGGACCTGTAGGATATCTTCACCTCAACGAACCTCGAACTTCAAGGCATTCATAACATCCGATGGCTCTCCCGCGGTGAGGCTGTCATTAGGTTAGTCAAGATTCTACCCGCCATCGTCGTCATGCTCTCCGAGTGAACGGACACCCGGCTCTCCAGGATAGTGACAAGCTACCACTTCTGGTTCCTTGTCATGTTCCTTGCTGACGTACTGGAGCAGCTAAACATCCTCAACAAGTCCTTCCAGGAGCGTCAGGTGAGTTTTTCGTTACTGTGACATTGAGCTGTTAGTAAATCACCCTGTTTATGTATATACACCTTCCCTGCCCTTCCTCCCCTCCTCCTCTTCCCCGCCCAAACCTCAGCTGGAGTACTCGGCCGTCCACGCGCAGATCATCCGCACAACAACCCTGCTGCAGAGCCGCTACGAGGACGGCGAAGACTTCGGCGGGGGACCGAAAGACCGTCTCACCATCTTCCTCACCCGTCACGGCCCGGGCGGCTCTCGCGAGGTCACCACTGAGGGCGTCGACTCCGACGGCTGTCCGGCTTCCTTTACCTTCGTGCTGCATCAAGATCGCTTGCCCGGTTATCCGGGAGAGGGCGATCACGACGCGTGCCAGGATCTATGTGCGGCGATGGCGACAGGCAAGGTGTCGAACTTGAAGGAGCGGCTGGGTGATCTGGGAAAGCTCTCTGGCTGCCGCCTCTTCTCTGTCAACCTCTGGCCCCCTAACTGGGAGAGAGCTGCACGCAAGGCACAGTGCCTTGACTAATTCTTCTCCCTCGTTACGCTTTACCGCGCAGATGAGGCAGAGGAGATTCTTCCTGGCATTGACAAGCGTGCAGCCATGAGGGAGCTGCCTCATTTCTGCCCTGTCATTGCTGCTCTTCCCCAGACCGACCGAAGCTTTCACGCTGGGCTCACGGCCATGCTGAAGACACCTGACTGGCAGGATTATTACCCAAACCTGATGAAGCTGTGGATGGCGGTGGCAGTGCTTCCTCTCAGCACCGTGGAGTGTGAGCGTGGATTCTCTAGGCAGAATGTGATTAAGCGTTGGCTACGTGGCAGCCTTAAAGACACTAGGCTTAGTGACCTGATGTGCATATCATTGTTAGACTATGACCCGGACTATGATGCTGTGGTGGAGATATGGCGCGCTTACAAGAAGCATAAGCCCTTCAACAATACCCCTCAGGCCAAGCAAGACGGCTCAAAGAAGGGGAAGGGAGTAGCAGAAGAGGCAGAGGGTGGTGTAGGTAGTGACAATGTAGTCGATCTTGACTACAGCCAGGGAAAAAGCCAGGGGCAGTCCTTTGCAATCAAGATGACTTAAAACCAATATGAGGGCTTGATTCTCACGTTATATTTCATTGACACTTCCTATATCATAACAGCTGGTATCAGAGCCCGACCTTTCCAGGAACCTTCCGTTTTCCCGTCTAAAGGGTGGTCAGAGGGGATTAGCACGGCCGCACAGTAGTTGTCTTGGATCGTAAATATTTTTACGTCAACAACTACAATGTGTGCGCTAGCTTCTACCCCGTCCTGACCGCCATGGCCTTAGTAGACTCGACAGTTGAGGGACAGTCCACCTCGATTGCTGCAAACCCTGCCCGAGAAACTGTGGACCTGCAAGCATTAATGGAGCAGTTGAAGAATTTGACAAGCGTCGTCAATGACCTCCGCCAAAACCGTCGCCAGTGGAGCTGGCACGACTAGCAGAAACAGCCCCGCGCTCGACAAGTGGCGGCGTAAGATATCAGCAACACGCTCCTTTCGACACAGCTAATAAATGTGTGACAGTGCGGCAGTGGATATTCGCCATGAATACATATTTTAACGCGGCGGGCATCCGAGACGATCAGAAGCGGATCAGACACGAGTTAACACTGTTGCAAGGGGCCGCCCTATAGGGGTGGGAGGGCATCGTCACCTCAGCGGCAACTCGCACAGAAGGACAGCACGAGTGGTCCGAAGAATTCGGCGACGAAGATGAGGCATATCTGTTGTTCGGAGTGACCCATATTCGCACGTGGGCAACATGGTGCATACAGCTTTGCAAGCGGTTTGAGCATGCACCTGACTCAGACAAGGCACGCAAAACTCTACGCATGTAGAAGCAGCTGGGATCTGTGTCCGAGTACACCGCGTTATTCCTAACGTTGGTGGACAGATGTGGCTACATGCACGAGTTGGAGAAGGTCGACAGGTACATGGGCGGCTTGAAGCCTGAAATACAGTACCAGATAAAAATGCTACGCCCTACAAAGCGGTTACAAGACTACATCCAGCTCGCCGAAGCCGTTGATTCGATCACGAAGCCGAGGCCGAATTTATACGATGGAGGTCGCCCTCGAAAACAGTACCAACGCGCCACGATAAAAGGGGTGGACACAGTGGATATTTATGCTGTTGCTCCGCAAAATATGGGGCTATGCTACCACTGTGGCCGGCCGGGTCACATCCGACGCAACTGCCAAGAATTCATAGCCCTCCAGAATTCTATGGGGAAGAAGTCGGAGGAGCGACTGGGAAATGGGTTGCATCAGTAAGTACCAGGCCCCATATTGACGGGCAGGCTTCTTCGCCCGAGCCACACAGTCCTCACCGGGTTGTGATCCCGATTGCTGCAATCGACCGGACCCGGACGAATAAGGGGGACGGAACTGCTTATCAGACTGTGTTCGTAGTGGGTAAAGTCAACGCAGTGTTATTGAAGTATTCGTTGATGGGGGCGCGAGTCATAGTCTCATACAACTGGACAGGGCTAAGAAATTGGGTATACCCTTACTCAAGTGTTTACCTGAAATCGACGCCCACCTGATGGATGGAACACCGCTAGCAATACAGGAACGGGTGGAGAACGTTGGTTTTACCTATGGGGAGCATGTAGAATTTCCGAACCTTAACCCGCGACAGATCCGATGGCTCGATTTCCTTGAGTCAAACTTCCACTACACCATCACCTACAAGCGGGAAGCCAACAATATTGCTGATGCCCTGACCCGACCCACGGCCCATACAGCCGCCATACTAGTCGCCCAGACCAGCCCACTCCTTACCAGACTATTTACCCACGGCTACAAGACCGGCCCATTCTTCCGCTCCGCCGTTCACCAACAGCACACTACCACCACGGGACATTACTTACTAAACGCGACACTTCCCGCATCTGGGTTCCCGGCTACGATTTACTTCGTACCCTCTTAATCCAGGAATCCCACGACAATCCTACCTCCGGGCATTTCGGAGTCGACAAAACCTTGAAGACGTTGCAGCGCAATTATTACTGGCCAAACATGGCCGACGACGTGCACAAGCACGTGTCCTCCTGCGCCGCCTGCTAGAACATGAAATCATCTCATCAGCGAGCAGCCGGACTCCTACAACTGTTGGATCCGCCCGAGAGACCCTGGCAACATGTCAGGACGGACTACGTGACAGAACTACCGGCCGGTCCCAGCAGAAACGATGCCATCCTCGTGGTCGTTGACCGACTCACGAAAATGGCGCACTTCATCACCTGCCAACAGAAAATTACAGCTGAGCAAACTGCCCAACTGTTCATTGCCAACGTCATCAGACTGCATGGACTGCCCACAGCTATTATTTCAGATCGAGACCCGAAATTCACATGGAATTTCGGGCGTCACCTGTGGGACCAATTCGGCACGAAACTACAGTTTTCCTCCGCCTACCACCCACAGACCGACGGGCACACTGAACGAGTCAACCAAACAATGGAGCAACTCATTCGGACTACCTGTACTAACCCATAGACATGGGAGAAATCCCTTCCGCTGCTGGAATTCGCGCATAATAGCGTGCCTTCCGCCACAACCCATCAATCCCTATTTTTCCTCAATTACGTACAGGACCCCGTGGTACCCTCTACACCAAACATCGAGACACATATGCCCCGGTCCCAACGTTTTGCCGAGGATATCCTCGCAGCCCGAGAAAAAAGCAGCTGAGTCAACCCGGAAAGCCAACCTGGTTGCAAGCCGACAAGCCGATCGTCATCAACGTAACGTCACCTACAAAGTGGGGGATCTCGTCCTACTCGACACTTGCAATTTGCGTCTGCCAATCTCGAGCAAACTCCGACCCCGCTTCTGTGGCCCTTTTCAAGTGACCAATATGGTGACACCTGTCACCGCTCATCTCCGACTCCCGGCTGATTGGCGTCACCACCCAACTTTCCACGTCAGCCTCCTACAACCCTACGTCCTCAGCTCGTCGGATTTGGCACGTCACTTTTTTTCGCAATGGCGAGTTTGCGAAGCCTTTATGATTTCGTGGCATTTGGGGTGGGGTGATCTGGTACCTTGTCGAGGATCGTCAATGTTTTGGACGTGCGTGTTAAATTATATATTTTATATAATTGTAGGCTTGGTAGTTGTGCTCCTTACTGGAACCTACTGTAGAGGCTACAACTCCCTCGTATCCCTCTCTCTTCTAGTCTCATTTTCTTTTCTCTCTTCAACTTTCCTAGCCTAAAACCTCACGCCATTCCATGGCTCCTCCTACTCCTAGCTACCATTCTTTCTAGTCTTAACATGGAATCAGAGTTGTTTGTTCCTTGTGGGCCTGCTCCTCATGCTTCCGCCGCGCTCTTCTACTCTATCTCTCGCGCTGCCATGGCGGCCGCATCGTGCTGCTGGTGCCGCGTCGTCGTGCCGTCGGCCGCGTCGTGCTGCCGCTGCCGTGACGTCGCGCCGGCGTGGCGTCGACGTCAAGCCGTGACGGTGCCGTCGACGTCAGCGCACGGGCGGCAGTGGGTCGTGCACTGGTTTAGGCACCAGGCAGCAGGCCCCCGCTCTCCAGCTCCCCGCGCCTCCTAGCTCTTCGTGTCGGACCCTGCTCGCCGCGTCGGACCCAGCTCGCCGCGTCGGTCCCAACGGACCCAGCTCGCCGCGTCGGTCCCAGCTCGCCACGCCAGCCGGCTCCGCCCCGCCGCAGCTCAAGGATGCCTAGCGCCTTCCTTCCCTTCAGTCACCTCTGGCGCAGGTTGAGCATGCCGCCGTTGCCTCGGGTGCCGCAGCCGCCGTCGCCGCCAGGTGCCACGACGACGCCGCCGCCGCAGTCGCTGACGCCGCCGCCGCCGCTGCGGCCCGCCGTCGTCGTCGCCACCTCGATCGCCGAGGGGTCGAACAGCTGGTCGGCGCCACTGCTGCTGCAGGGAATGGGGGTGCAAGGAAATGGGGTGCTTGGGGTGTGTTAAATTATGTATTTTATATAGTTGTAGGCTTGGTAGTTGTGCTACTTGCTGGAACCTACTGTAGAGGTAGTTCTCTCCTCAACTTTCCTAGCCTAAAACCTCACGCCATTCCATGGCTCCTCCTACTCCTAGCTACCATTCTTTCTAGTCTTAACAGTGCGATTGGGGGCGGGTCCAAATAATTCATACTCTATTCATTTCGTGAAAAGTAACCCGATTTTAACCTCGTTTGGATTTCGCGGGGACACGTGCGCGAAATTGACGTAACTGGGGACGCTCGACGCATGTGAATGCACATGATTTGTTTACAATTCGGCAACGTTAGGTTTACGTTTTGGTATCGGTGGACACGTGTGGCGCTTTGGGGTTTCGCCAAGCCAGGCTTGGCGAGAACAAGGCGACCTCGCGAACATCTCGCGTGGCGCAACGCCCAATCACACCTGCCACTTAACCCAGCACGAAACATTTGTTTCGCGAGCTGCGACATTTGGTAACTGCGATTTGGGGCGTCTGACGCAAACCGTTTTTTGGGACGCACCCAGTTTGCGCCAGCTTCTGTTTCATTCGGAATATGAGACGCGGTTTGGGGAGGAAACGATTTTGAGATCGTTTCCAATTGTCGTACCCGAGTTCGTAAAAACGTGTCCAAAACCCCCAATTGAACTATTTGGACCCGCCCTGATTCCCGGTTTTGTTTCACAAGTGATCCTCCCCTACATGACTCTTTTGAGGCTACTGTTATGAATGGGACTGCCGAGTAGCGCGGAGGGCAATGGCGAAATTGTGACCGAGTGAATGACAATAAAATGAAAGACAACACAATATATAGAAAACCTAGGGCGATCCTGGACGTAGGATCGGAAGGTTCGGGAAAAGTGTCGAAGGGCCTCGATGTGTCGAAGCAAGGTCCAGAAAGGCCGAGGAGGCTCGAACTGAAAGGTCTGGAACCCTATCGCTGGTTCGGGACCGTTCGAGTCGTACAACTCTGTAGCAAGCCTCAGTAAGGAATTAATAATTCCTTACAGCTACCGTAGCTGTCGGGTTACCCGGTTTCTACAGTACCAAGATTCGAAAATGATGGGAGAACCAGACGCGATGTAGCGCGTCCTGAGTCCACCTCTCACGCGGAACCGAGTGAAGAATCGCGGAATGCAAGACATTTGCAGCTACTACTGCATCACGCCACCCCTTCGCACTCTGCACTGCCCCCTCCCCCCTCCCCCTCCCCATGCTGCCTCACCGCCTGCGCGTGCGCGACTTCGCGGCTGCGCGCGCGTCGGAGTTCGCCGCCCTCTACGCCACGCTCGACCGCCCGCGCGCCCAACGGCTTATCCCGCCCGCGCCAGGGGGATGCAGCCAATGGGGGACGAAGCGGGACGGAGGAGAGGGTAGCGCGCAGGGAGATGCGGCGGACGGGGACGGGGCAGGCGAGGCGCGCCGCGTGGTGGGGCGGCGTGAGTGGGGCGCGCGGCGGCGGCGCGATCGAGTGGCGGTGCGGCACGGCACGGCGCGGCACCTGATCCGACGGACCAGCAGCTTCGTGCGGCGCGGGTCACGCAGAACGAGCGGCGCTGGTCCCGGCGACGGGAGAGGGAATAGCGGGGGTCCGACGCGGGCGGTTGCGGGGCAGCAGCGGCGGAAACGAGTGAAGGTTGCGGGGCTGGAAGGGCGGGTGGATGGGGGGATGCGGGGCAGGGGGGGGGGGAGGGGGAGGGGGGAGTGGATGGGACAGGCAAAGGAGGAGATGGGGAGGGGAGAGGGGGAATGGGAGGAGGAGCAAGAGGAGGCAGGTGAGGGCGAGGGGAGCAGGCGCATGCGCAGATGCGCGGAATGGAAGCGCGTGAAGCAGGGGGCGGAGGGAGGGCGCGCGGGGAACGAGGTGGGGGGCGGTGGGGCAAGGCGACTGGCGAGCCATGTGTGGCATGCGAAGCGATTCCACATGGCCGCCACGTGGGGGTGCACTCTGGCAACCAGGGTGCACGGCAGGTGAGGGTGCAGGGCAGGTGCGGCCATGGGATGCGAGCGAACCCTGACATGCTAGCCCCGTCGTTGACATGACTGCATGGCAGCGTCAACGTCAACAAGTGCATGCATGCCTTGCTGCGAGCTCAGCCAACTCTCTCTCTCGCCCTCCCGTCTATCGCCCCTCCCACCCTCTCTGCCCATGTCTGCAGGGGCCACGGCAGCAGGGCGGTGTTGGAGGCGGCGGACAGGGCGGCGCTCGTCCACGACGCTTCGTACCACAGCGCCATACAGCTGTCCGGCACGCAGGTGCGTGCGCTCACGCTGCGTGCCGCCGCTCACTCCCTCACATCACAGCACCTGCGCGGCCTGCCCAGGCCCATCTGACTCCACGAGAACAGCAGCAGAATGCCTCGCCTCCAATCTCGCTGCCCGTCAACTCGCGCGCGCTTAACACTTGTTCCCCCCACGCCATCCCCCATGCCACCCCCCATGCCACCCCCCATGCCACCCCCCATGCCACCCCCCATGCCACCCCCCATGCCACCCCCATGCCACCCCCCATGCCACCCCCCATGCCACCCCCCATGCCACCCCCCATGCCACCCCCCATGCCACCCCCATGCCACCCCCCATGCCACCCACCATGCCACCCCCCATGCCACCCCCATGCCACCCCCCATGCCACCCCCCATGCCACCCCCCATGCCACCCCCCATGCCACCCCCATGCCACCCCCCATGCCACCCCCCATGCCACCCCCCATGCCACCCCCCATGCCACCCCCATGCCACCCCCCATGCCACCCCCATGCCACCCCCCATGCCACACCCCATGCCACCCCCCATGCCACCCCCATGCCACCCCCATGCCACCCCCCATGCCACCCCCATGCCACCCCCCATGCCACCCCCATGCCACCCCCATGCCACCCCCCATGCCACCCCCCATGCCACCCCCCATGCCACCCCCCATGCCACCCCCCATGCCACCCCCCATGCCACCCCCCCATGCCACCCCCCATGCCACCCACCATGCCACCCCCCATGCCACCACCGCGTCCGTCTCCTGCCCTCTCTCCACCTGTTCCTGTCCATCCCTCCCCTCTAACCGTCCGTCCAACGCCCCACGCCCCCCTCACCCCCCCCAGTCCCACATCTGCACCCTCCTCGCTCGCTGCACTCCCCACGGCGCCCTCCCCCTCTCCCCTCGCCCTGCCACTGCTGCCCCACACACGCCGTATGCTGCGAGCACAAGCAGTGGTGTTGTGGGGGAGAGCGAGGAGGCGAGGGGGGAGGCGTGGAGGAATGGGCAGCTGGAGCTGAGAGCCATGGTGAGAGGGGGGTGGGGTGAGAGTGCAATGACCACACCAGTGGACGAATGGTTGGATCTCGAACGTGCCATTCGCTGCATGCTTCAGTGTGGCTCCTTCACATTGGTGGCCATCCACCCCTGAGAGCTGGCGGGGCAGTTCACACGACTACATGCCACTTCCTCCACCCGCCATGTGCATGTCATGGCATCAGTCCAGTATCGTCGTGCCTCTCCCCTCTCATACATCCTCCCTCCCCGTTTCCCTCGTCCTCCTACCTCCCCTGTCTCCATCCTCCCCCGCCTCCATCAGCTCTGCTCCCCCGCGAGTGACTCCCCCAGCAGCACCGTGATTGGTCCAGCTGCCTTCATGTGGCAGCCAGTGCCGTGCGTCAGCAGGGCCTCAGAGGACGGCTGTGATGCTCATGCACCTGCGAATGGCGGTGCTGGCAGTGGGATCAAGCATGCGGGCGATGGTGGTGGAGAGGTCAAGGCCGGGGGGAAGGGGGAGCGCTGGCGCTGGAAGCAGCGGTGCAGAGAGAGGCAGGGGCAGCGGAAGCAGCAGCAGCGGCAGCAGCGGCGGGTGTGGGTGTGGGTGCACGCGCTCATGCTGCGCGACGCCCTGGAGGCGCTCAGGGCGCCCAGCGCCCCCATGGGGTGGAGGCAAGGTGGGCAGCTGGCGGAGGGCTGTGATGGCGGGCAGGACACAAGGGGCGCGCGCAGTAGCAGGAGGCGGACGGGGGTGAGGGTAGAGAGCCGCGAGGGCGAGTTGTGCCGGGTAGAGGTGGCGGGGCGCACGGCGCTTCCCCTCCTGCTCTCCGTGCTCGTCCCCGCCGCCCCGGGCGACCGCCCATCGCAGCTGCTCCTGCACGCGCACTCCTCTGCTGCCACCGCCGCCACCACCAGTGCTGCTGCCGCCGTCTCTGCTTCGCCCACTGCAGCATCCCTGCGCCTACAGCAGTCGGAAGCGTCCTGGAAAGTGCTTTCTGAGCACGGAGTGTTCCTCCCGAGTGGAGCCGTGGTGGGGTTCAGAGCCGTGGACGCGCGGCACATGGCGGGCCGTGGGACGAGTGGTCGTGGTGGGGGTGTGAATGCTTGCAATGGGCGGCTGCATGGTGGCGCTCACACTGGAAGTGCTGACTTGTCAAAGTTGCCAAATCGGCGTTTCGATTGGTGGAGACATGCGGTGAGCAGTGGCGACGGTGGCTCACTTGCTGCTGCGCCCAGCCTGTGGGACCCGAGAGGGCGTGGGGGGGTGGCAGGCGGGAGAGGGGTGGATGAGGGAGGCGGAGGGGAGAGAGAAAGGGCGAGTGCGGAGGGGAGAGTGGGGATGAGTGAGAGAGGAGAGGGCGAGGAGGAGGAGGAGAGGGTGATGGAGGTGGGTGGGGAGGAGAGGGTGATGGAGGGGGGTGGGGAGGAGATGGAAGCGAAGGGCGGGGCGGTCAACGGGGCACCAGGATTCAAGCGAAGCGCTCAGGCTGCCAGCGCTGGATGCAGCGCTGGCGCTCTCCCTCCCTCCGTCCCTCCCCCCCAGCACCTGTTGGACGCGTGTAGGCGCGCGCACAAGCTGCAGGGGCTGGTGGGGGCGAGCGAGGCCCGGCGCATGGCGGAGAGGGCGAGCAGCGCGTGGGAGGAGTGGGAGGGGGGGATGGGCGGGGAGAGGCAGGGAGGAGGGAAGGTATGCGAAGTTGAAGGCAGGCAGGGAGTGGAGCATGGGCGGCACTCATGTGATGTGGCGGTGGTGAGGCATGGGTGCGGTGCCCTGCAGGCGCACGGGGTCACGAGGTGAGCCGGCTCTCTTCCTGCGTGTGCACAGCACAGCACGGGGGAATTGGAGTGTGGTGTGAGGGGTTCAGGGGGTTCACCAGGGGATGGAGATGGGGTTTGCAAAGCAAGTGCAGAGGGGAGGATGGGGAGGGGGAGGTGAAGGAGGAAGGGAGGTGCTTAGGGATGGGATGGGTGTGGAGGTGTGCCCTTCTGCTTGAAAGCTTCCAATCCTTCATGGACCCCTTCCCCCCCCCCAACCCCCTCGCGCCCCTCGCCCGCAGGTGGTCGGTCATCCTGCCCTGCAGCTGGCTGCAGGCGTTCTGGCAGGCGTTCATCCTGCAGGGCGCGCATGCCATGGGGCTCAGCGAGCGCCACACGCTATTCACGGCGGTGAGCGCCCGTTGCCTTGTGGGTCCACGCCTCTTCATTGTTCGCCCATGCGCCTTCCTTCCAGCCCTGTGTCCCACCCTGTTGCCTGTGCCACGTGCCTTTGGCATCCCTTCCTCCACTTGCCCTCGCAACCACCACCCCTGCTGCTCTGGCATCTCCCTCTATCTCCATCCCCTTCTCGTCCCTCCCCATCCCCTCCCCTCCCTCCCCCCTCCCACCAGGCGGGGCTGCCTCTCTTCCCCTACGACTACCCCGAGACATTTTCCTACAGGTGCCACGTGGCAGCATCCTATTCGCTGCAGCGCGCTCGCTACGACCGCAGTCCACCCTCCAAGCGGCCTCTGCGGTTCCCCCTACCACCTGACTGGGCTGCTGCTTGTGGTGGGCGGGGGAGGATGGGGGGAGACGGGGGGGATGGGGGAATAGGGTGTGCAGAGGACGCAGAGGCAGGTGGCCACCGCAACTCTGACGTTGACTTGACGGTGGCTCGCTGCTCCGGTGAGGCGGTCGCGGCTCTGCTGCCTGCTGTTGCCCGTGATGGGTGTGCTGGTGCTGCTGGTGCTGGTGCTGGTGCTGAAAGGGAGGGGGTTGGCAGGAGGGGGGTGGGAGTCCATTGCTGTGGCACTGGGAAAGGCAGGAGAGGGGGAGCAGCGCAGGAGGGAGGCAGAGGAGGCCCGTGGGAGGGTAGAGGGGCGGGAGGGGCGGATAGTGCGCGGGTGAGCTTGCAGTGGAGGCGGGTGGGGGGGAGGGGGAGCAGTGAGGGTGCATGTGAGGACAGGGGAGGTGGTGCAGGTGGTGGTGGGGGTGGGGGTTGGGGGGAGGGGCGAGGAGAGGGGGGTGAGGGCATGGCAGGGGATGTGGAGCACCCGAACTCACATGCTGCGTGCCCGCCACTGCCACCCCTTGGCCTCTCCAGCAGCGCGCCCCTGCAGCAGCAGCAGAGCCGCATGCTGCTGGTGCACGTGGTGCCGGCGGGCAGAGGAGCAGCGGTGGCAGCAGCGGAGCTGTGCCTTCCCTCGCCCCGCGACTTCCACCACTTCTGCTGCCGCCTCAATGGGGCCCGGGCTCATGGGTACATGGATGCTCATCATGGGTACATGGATGCTCATCATGCGCCGGCTCTATCTCACACGTGCCAAGGCGCACCTGTGCTTGCATGCTCGTTGTTGCGTCATTTCTGCTCCATGCTCCCTGCCTGCTCCATACCTAACTATTCCTCTCTTATCCCCACCGTCCTGTTCCCTTCCTCCCAGCGCCCGTTCCTCTGCCTGGCGTGGAGTCATCCTCCCTCACTCTCGCCTCCGCTGCAGGCTCGGGGCTGGGCCTGGTGTCGTGGTTCGGAAGACAAAGCAGCAGCTGCGGAGGCAGAAGCAGAGGGAGAGGTGGCGAGGTGTGGCGGAGCAAGAATACGTGGCGGGCGTGAAGGGAAGAGAGGAGGCGCAGAGGAGGGAGGGCGAGAGGGCAGTGGATGGGAGGCCAGGGCATGGCAGAGTTGAGGCGGGTGTGGGTGAGGATGGGCGTGGGGGAGCAAGGGGGGGGGCGGCTGAGAGGGAGCCTCGAGAAGTGGTTGGGTTCGTGACGAGTGCAGCGCCACGAGGCAGGTGAGGCGGTTGGGGGATGGTCGGGTTAGCCAAGAGATGGTGGTTCGCGAGCAGAGCGTGGTTGTGTGTTGCGTGGATAGCAGTCGAGTGGGCATAATTGTAACATGTGGGGTAAGCAGTGCAGCAGGTGCAGTGCAGCAGGTGCAGCAGGTGGTATCCCTCGTTCCACCAGCAGGTGGTACCCCTTGCTTCAGCGCATCCATGCTCCTCCCGTAAGCCAGTACCTCTCTCCCCCCCTCACCCACCCGCACCCTCCCCCCCTTCATCGAGCCCTGCAGCAAGAGCCGGGTGTCGCTGGCGTGTGTGCGCGCCTCAGCCATGCTCTCAGCTTCATCCCGCCAGTTCTCCGCCATCTCGTCCCTCGCCCCGCCCGCCACCACCTCGCCCCTGCCCGCGCTGCGCGTGCTGCTGCTCATGCGCCGCCCGCACTCCTCTGCCTACCGCCCCGTGCTCGCCTCGCTTGCTGCCGAGGATGCGGGCCGTCTCGCTACCACTGCCTGGTCGTGACTTGTGCCGCTCCTTGCTGCTCTCGGTGTGCGGTGGTGCCACGATCCCTACAAGCCCAGTGGGAGCCATACTTGAAAGGTTCAACCTTACAGTGCAGGTTGAGGAAAACGGAGGTGCAGGGGCACGAAAGCATCTGCAGCATATATATCTCTCTTCAATGCGTTCGTTTCACTATTTCTTGTTTCAGTTCTACCTTCATTCTGTGTGTTTTATGATAGAAATTGACAGCACTAGCAATTACCATTACACCACTACGAGGTAGCTCAGTCTGCCGCTCTGTAAACCACACCACTCCGAACTGAAAAACTGTCAGTCGCCTGCACGCACCCTCGCGCACGCCACCTTCTCCCCAAAGCCCTGCATCTTATCCTCCGCCTTCCGCGCTCAATTCGCGTGCTCCATCGAGTCGTCGTCCTCTCGCAATACGCCCACTGGACCATGGCTGCGATTGCTCCGACGGTGCGTTGCGATCCGTCTCGGCCACTCGCCGCTCATCGTCTGAACGGCGCTCCGCCATCTCGCCGCCGCACACGCCTCTCGCTCCCGCGCGTCTGCATCGCGTCCTCGTCATTGCCGACTGCTCTCGCCGTCACTCGCCGATCCGTCTTCTCCCACAGCTTGTCGCAACGCGTCCGCCAACCACGAAGATGTAAGTCCGCGCGGTGGCTCGTGCGCGCGGATGCGTCGTCGGGCGAGACCGCCCCGGGCGGCACCGCGGAAGCCGCCAAGGCGTCCGACAGACGGCGCGCGCGGGTGGCGGTGTTCGTGTCGGGCGGCGGGTCGAACTTCAAAGCCATCCACGCCGCGTGCGCCGACGGGCGCGTGAACGGCGACGTGGTGGTCGTCGTCAGCGATAAACCAGGTCAGCCTCTACCGCGTATGGTGGGGGCGGAAGGAAGGAGGTCGTGAAAGGATTTCTGAACGAGGTGGCAGGGCTTGAGGGAGGCGCATTGGGAGAGTGGGGCGGACGGCCGCGCGGGGCAGGTCATCCTCGTGCCTCAGTGCCACTGTCGTGCTTCCCTGCTCCCCTGCTCCCCTGCTCCCCTGCTCCCCTTCTCCCCTGCCCCTCTGCTCCCCTGCCCCCCTGCTCCCCTGCTCCCCTGCTCCCCTGCTCCCCTGCTCCCCTGCTCCCCTGCCCCCCTGCTCCCCTGCTCTCCTGCTCCCCTCTCCCCTGCTCCCCTGCTCCCCTACTCCCCTGCTCCCCTGCTCCCCTGCTCCCCTGCTCCCCTGCTCCCCTGCCCCCCTGCTCCCCTGCTCCCCTACCCCCCTGCTCCCCTGCTCCCCTGCTCCCCTGCTCCCCTGCTCCCCTGCTCCCCTGCCCCCTGCTCCCCTGCTCTCCTCCTCCCCTCCCCTGCTCCCCTGCTCCCCTGCTCCCCTGCTCCCCTGCTCCCCTGCTCCCCTGCTCCCCTGCTCCCCTGCTCCCCTGCTCCCCTGCTCCCCTGCTCCCCTGCTCCCCTGCTCCCCTGCTCCCCTGCCCCCCTGCTCCCCTGCTCCCCTACCCCCTGCCCCCCTGCTCCCCTGCTCCCCTTCTCCCCTGCTCCCCTGCTCCCCTGCTCCCCTGCTCCCCTGCTCCCCTGCTCCCCTGCTCCCCTGCTCCCCTGCCCCCCTGCTCCCCTGCTCCCCTGCCCCCCTGCTCCCCTGCTCCCCTGCCCCCCTGCTCCCCTGCCCTCCTGCTCCCCTGCTCCCCTGCTCCCCTGCTCCCCTGCTCCCCTGCCCCCCTGCTCCCCTGCTCCCCTGCCCCCTGCTCCCCTGCTCCCCTGCTCCCCTGCCCCCCTGCTCCCCTGCTCCCCTGCTCCCCTGCCCCCTGCTCCCCTGCTCCCCTGCCCCCTGCTCCCCTGCCCCCCTGCTCCCCTGCTCCCCTGCCCCCCTGCTCCCCTGCCCCCTGCTCCCCTGCTCCCCTGCTCCCCTGCTCCCTGCTCCCTGCCCCCTGCTCCCCTGCTCCCCTGCCCCCCTGCTCCCCTGCTCCCCTGCCCCCTGCTCCCCTGTTCCCCTGCCCCCTGCTCCCCTGCCCCCTGCTCCCCTGCTCCCCTGCTCCCCTGCTCCCCTGCCCCCCCTGCTCTCCTGCTCCCTACCCCCCTGCTCCCCTGCTCCCCTGCTCCCCTGCTCCCCTGCTCCCCTGCTCCCCTGCTCCCCTGCTCCCCTGCTCCCCTGCTCCCCTGCTCCCCTGCTCCCCTGCTCCCCTGCTCCCCTGCTCCCCTGCTCCCCTGCTCCCCTGCTCCCCTGCTCCCCTGCCCCCTGCTCCCCTGCTCCCCTACCCCCTGCCCCCTGCTCCCCTGCTCCCCTGCTCCCCTGCTCCCCTGCTCCCCTGCTCCCCTGCTCCCCTGCTCCCCTGCTCCCCTGCTCCCCTGCCCCCTGCTCCCCTGCTCCCCTGCCCCCCTGCTCCCCTGCTCCCCTGCCCCCCTGCTCCCCTGCTCCCCTGCTCCCCTGCTCCCCTGCTCCCCTGCTCCCCTGCCCCCCTGCTCCCCTGCTCCCCTGCCCCCCTGCTCCCCTGCTCTCCTGCTCCCCTGCCCCCTGCTCCCCTGCTCCCCTGCCCCCTGCTCCCCTGCTCCCCTGCTCCCCTGCCCCCCTGCTCCCCTGCTCCCCTGCCCCCCTGCTCCCCTGCCCCCTGCTCCCCTGCTCCCCTGCTCCCCTGCTCCTGTGCTCCCCTGCCCCCCTGCTCCCCTGCTCCCCTGCCCCCTGCTCCCCTGCTCCCCTGCCCCCCTGCTCCCCTGTTCCCCTGCCCCCCTGCTCCCCTGCCCCCCTGCTCCCCTGCTCCCCTGCTCCCCTGCTCCCCTGCTCCCCTGCTCCCCTGCTCCCCTGCTCCCCTGCTCCCCTGCTCCCCTGCTCCCCTGCTCCCCTGCCCCCTGCTCCCCTGCCCCCCTGCTCCCCTGCTCCCCTGCTCCCCTGCCCCCTGCTCCCCTGCTCCCCTGCCCCCCTGCTCCCCTGCCCCCTGCTCCCCTGCTCCCCTGCCCCCCTGCTCCCCTGCCCCCCTGCTCCCCTGCTCCCCTGCTCCCCTGCTCCCCTGCTCCCCTGCTCTCCTGCTCCCCTGCTCCCCTCTCCCTCCCTTCATGCTGACTGCTGGACAACGGTCGTCGTGTGGAGGCCCGTGTGTCTGCGTGCGGTCGCGAAGAGTGCGGGGGATGGCAGTACGCGCGCGCCAACGGCATCCCCACGCTCGCCTTCCCCGTCAACGCCAAGCTGCCGCCCGCCGAGCAACACGGGCTCACGCCTGACCAGCTGCTCCAAGCCATGCGGTGAGTGCTGAGGTGTGGAGTGCGGTGATTGCTGAGGGGTGGAGTGCGGTGAGTGCTGAGGGGTGGAGCGCGGTGAGTGCTGAGGGGTGGAGCGCGGTGAGTGCTGAGGGGTGGAATGTGGGCATACGGTGAGTGGAGTGCAACCAAACCATTCCGTACCTTATCTCAGAGGCTTAGTCGCTTCCCACTACGAGCAACTTTCAACGTGTCGTGTCGTGTCGTATCACAGGTCTCACTGCCCTCCATCGTCCATTCGTCGCCCCCTCGTGCCCACCTTCAGCATCCCACGTGACGGCTCTCCCCACGCAAGTACGCCTCCACACTGTGGAGGAGGCACCGCGCCCTCATCACGTCATCCTGCCAGCCACCGCTGCTGCCACCGCTGCTGCCACTGCTGCTGCCACCGCTGCTGCCACCTGGATTCCTCCTGGGATCTCCTTAAAGCCCAAAAAAAATAATAATAAAAAAAAAAAACCGCTGCTGCCACCGCTGCTGCCACCGCTGCTGCCACCGCTGCTGCCACTGCTGCTGGCCTTCCTCGCCCTAAGCCACGCCACCCATATGCCCCTCTCCCCTGCCACGCACACCCACCCCCCCCCTCCCTCCCCCTGCCAGGCACCATGCGGTGGACTACATCGTCCTGGCACCGCTGCTGGGGGTCTTCCTCATCCCCCCCTTCTCCCTCCTCCCACCAGGCAGCACGCGGTGGACTATGTCATCCTGGCAGGGTACCTGAAGCTGCTGCTATCTCTGCTGGGGGCCTTCCTCGCACCTCCCTGCCAATCCCTCCCCCCCCCCCGTCGCCCCCTTACCCCCCCAGGCAGCACGCGGTGGACTACATCGTCCTGGCGGGGTACCTGAAGCTGCTGCCGGCATCGCTGGTGGAGGCGTTCCCGCGCGCCATCCTCAACGTCCACCCCGCGCTGCTGCCCGCGTTCGGCGGCAAGGGGTACTACGGCATGCGCGTGCACAAGGCCGTCATCGCGTCCGGCGCCAGGTGGGTGTTGGGTGGGGCCCTCTGTGGGATGGCGTGTGGCATACTGTGCTGTAGTCCAATTGCTCACAAAATTCGTGCCACCCCTCACTTCCGTTCCCACCTCCCAACCCCCGACTTCCCCCCCCCACTCCCCCCTCTTCCTCCCTCCCCTGCCCCCTCCCCCTCCCCCCCCAGGGTATCGGGTCCCACGGTGCACTTTGTGGACGAGCGGTACGACCACGGCCCCATAGTGGCGCAGGCAGTGGTGCCCGTGCTGCCCTTCGACGACCCACCCGCGCTGCAGGCGCGCGTGCTCGCCCAGGTGGGGCAGTGGGCTGGGGTGGGGGTGTGATGGGGGTGTGGTGCTGGCCAGCAAGTTGCGGGCAGAAGGCGGTGGTGGGTCGTGCCTCCTCTCTTCTCTCCTCTTGATTCTACCATAGACTTGGTACTCACGTGCTTTTTCACCTTGATGCTCACCCTCCTCCCTCTGAACACGTTCTTTTGTGCCAAGCCGCACCGCGCTACCGCCATACCCCTGTATCACCTTGTGCGCTGACCAGAGCCAACTACATGCATTGGTGCTGGCAGCGCCGTGCAATGGTAGGGTGGGCTGAGCCGCCCCTATTTCAGCAGTCTTCCATTCTCACACCTTCCTCTCGCATGTTCTTGGCCCCACGCACCATCTTCCGCCCTCTCAGGAGCACCGGCTGTATGTGGCCGTGGTGGCAGCGCTGTGTGACGGCCGGGTGGAGAGGACGCTTCCTTGTCAGAGCTGTCTCTATTCTCGCTCTCCCCTGACCGTTTTGCATTGTCCTTGCCCCAAAAAACGCTGTTTACCTCCCAGGAGCACCGGCTGTATGCGCGCGTGGTGGCAGCGCTGTGCGACTGCCGGGTGGAGTGGCGGGAGGACGGCGTGCCAGTCATCCGCAGTGCGGACGACGACAACGCCTTCGAGTAGAGGAGCAGAGGGGGGCATGTGTGGTATGGGGGGTGGTACATGGATGTGGCCACGGAGGGGGCTGGTGGCTGTGCGCACTGGCAAGGAGCCTGAAAACATGGTTTACCATGGGTTGCATGGACACGTGGGAGGATGCTGGTGTGTTAGTTGAATAAATCTGAGATGGCTCATGCTTGGTCCAATCAGGTACATAGTGTTAGAAAAGCTAAGTGAACAGATGGGATATATCAGTTGGTGTTGTACTTGTTAAAGCCGTTGGCCCAAAATATACAAGATTAAAAAAGATGAATCAGGCAAAAAGTTGAGCTGGAGAAAGAATAGGGGCGTGGAGTAGTGGCGCAAGGGTGGCGAGAGTGGGCGAGCGCAGCACAGCACATTAAGAAAACCTATCAGAACGAGCAAAGAAAACTAGAACAGGTTCCAGACCAGACATTCGCAAATGACGACTGGGGGAAATCGAGGTTCGGGAAAGGGAAAGCGGGGGCGCGCGCAAGGCGCAGGGGGGAGTGGGGGAAGAATACCAGAGCGGCAGAGCGGCACACGGCACGGACTGTATGTGGTGCGTGCGAAGGGGTTTCTTTGTCACGGGCGTGATTGTTAAACTAAGGTAGCTAGGAGTAGGAGGAAGCCATGGAATGGAGTGAAGTCAAGGAAGGAGAAAGTTGAGGAGAGAAAAAAGAGACAGACTAGAAAGAGAGGGATACAAGGAGGGGATTGCACCCTCTACAGTAGAGTTCAGTAACACCTACCAAGCCTACCAAATATATAACAAAATATATAATTTAACACACCCCCTAGGCTTGGTAATAACTGTCAGAAACCCAGTCACTAACCACTGGGTTAAAAGGGCTTGTTGAATAGCGGGTAAGTGCGCCCATAGCCCCCCAGGCTCTGCACCTGTGGCCCTTCCCCTAGGATCTCAAGGGCAACCCCAGCGGGTCACTCAACACCCCCCCCCCGCTGGGATAGGTGGAAGACACGAGCGCCTCTGCAGCGCTGGCACTGGGAGTTGAACCCAAGACCTTTTGGCTCTGATACCATGTCAGAAACCCAGTCACTAACCACTGGGTTAAAAGGGCTTGTTGAATAGCGGGTAAGTGCGCCCATAGCCCCTCAGGCTCTGCACCTGTGGCCCTTCCCCGAGGATCTCAAGGGCAACCCCAGCGGGTCACTCAACACAATAACAAGCCCACACCCACACCCCCTACCCTAACCTAGCCCGCCGTTTCCCAGTAGCAACACCCACGGCCCGGGAGATGGCAATGGCGGCAGTCGCGGCAGTGACGAAAGCGACGGTGGCGGCGGCGTGCGGCGGCAAGAGGCCAGCGGCAACAGGCCAGCGGCAACAGCGGCGGCGGCGGCGGCTTCAACGTCAAAGGCGAGTGCAGCGCCCCCCACCCCTCTCGGCGGCATGGCCAATCTCCTTGCCGAGGGGGGAGGGGGGGGGGGGGGGGGGGGCGAATCTTCAGCGAGGCACCATGGCTGGCACGACGCTTACTGGCGTGACGGCGTTACTATCAAACTGAAAGAATGACAAGAATGTGAGAGTACAAGGCATTATAACCTAAGCGGCTGTACTCTCTAAGGCACAACCCTATATGGTCTACAACATCACACACAAATGTGTTTGACACACCTCCTAGACTGGATAGGGGCAGTGCCTGTTGAGAGACAAGCAGCTCAGGGTGGCACTACTAGTCCAACCTCTGAGGCAAGGGTCTAAAGACCAGTCAAACAAGTACAAACCAAGGCAAGAGCAGGACCAGGGCGGCACTACTAGTCCAGCCACTAGGAGAGGCCACAAGGCCAGTCAGGGTAAAATATAGCCCGGAAACGAGACCTAGCTGTACACAGTACCGCTGATGATCTTTAGGCGCAAGCGCCTTTGTAAAGATATCAGTTGTGTTGGCACCGGAGGCCAAGTGTACTACGCGAGCCTGGCTGCGCTGCTGTAGCTTGCGCAGGAGGAAGTACCGCAGCTGGATGTGCTTCACTCTGCCCTTAAGTCGAGGCTCCTGACACAGGAGGATCATGGCCCTGTTGTCAGCGTACAGGACCGGGGCAGAGCTAGGCCGCTCACCTAAGTCAGTGAGCAAGAAGCTCAGCCACCGCAGCTCCTGTGCCGCCATGGCACCAGCATAGACCTCGGCCTCACAGCTGGACTGGGCAACAGACAAGGAGCGAGTAGCTCTCCACGAGACAGCACCTGAACCAAGGCTAAATCAGTAGCCCTCCGAGGACCTGAGGGTCTCGGCGTCGTCTGCCCAAGAAGCGTCTGTATGCCCAGTAAGGACCACTGGCCTGCGTCCTCCAAGCACTAACCCCATGCCTGATGTACTTGCTAGATAATGCAAAACCCTCTTAGCGGCCGACCAGTGCTGTGGTCGGTGTCTGCATGTGGCCACAAAGCGAGCCAGGATGCTAAGAGGGTATGCGAGATCTGGACGAATGCAAATCATCAGGTACATGAGGCAACCCACCAGCTCTGCATAAGGACCACTGGGCTCTACAGACTCCTCAGAAATTACAGCTGAGAGCCTGTGATCTACTGGCAGAGGAGTGGGCTGTGCGGAGGAGAACTGAAGACTGAACCTCTGAAGGACCTGGCGCACCAAGTGTGACTGGGTGAGAGTGATGGTGCGCGCTGCTCTGTCCCTAGAGATCTGGAGGCCAAGGTAGTGGCGCAGTTCTCCTAGGTCAGTGCAGGTGTGTCTCTTCAGCAGCTCTGCCTTCACGCAGGCCAGTGCGTCCCTGTCTGCAGAGGCAAAGACCAGGTTGTCTACGTAAACAAGGATATAGAACGGGGTCTAGCCAGCACGAACGAAGAGCGAGGGGTCTGCAGAGGACGGAAAGAACAGCAAGTCGGCAAGGGTAGCACGCAGTGTGTTGTGCCACTCACGGGGCGCCTGTCGCAAGCCATAGACTGGGCGCCGCAGTAGCCACTGGGTCCCAGGAGGGAAGGTACCAGTGAAGCCCTGAGGGCGTGCTCGTGTAGGCTGCCCTGCAGAAAAGCAGTGGAGAAGTCGAGGGAGTGTAACTCGTAGTCACGATGTGCTGCTACGTGTAGCAGTGCCCGAAGAGTAGTCATCTTCGGAGTCGGGGCGAAGGTCTGAAAGAAGTCCACCCCCTCACGCTGACTGAAGCCTCTAGCCACGTAGCGCGCCTTGAACACTGGCGGCTCTCCAGGGGGGCAATTCACATTGAAGAGCCACCGGCCATCGACTACGTTCACCCCAGGCGGGGGAACTACGTCGACGTAGGTGCCGGTGGATCTCCAAGATGCCATCTCCTGCTCCATGGCAGCTATCCACTGAGAGGCCGAGGGTCCCGAGGTCGCCTCAGCGTAGGTGCGAGGGGTCGGGATGTCGAAAGCGTCTGGGTCAGCCTCAGGAACTAGCAGCATGGAACAGGGATGGGGAGCAGCCTTGGACAGGAAAGCAAGCTCGTACTGCCGGTCCTCCAAGACGTCACTGCCGAGGGCAGGAGCACCCCCGACGGACGGAGGAGGAGCTGGGTCAGAGACCAGAGTAGTGGCGTAGTCAAGGCGGCAGGTAGAGACAAAGCCAGCGATGGCAGCGACAAGAGCATCAAGACGCGAAACAGGAACAGACGGGTCGGTAACGAGAGAGGCAAGGACCTGAGGAACAAGAGGACGAGCTGCACGAAGGTAGTCAAACAGAGGGGGAGGCGCGACAACAAGGGAGGACGGAGGAGGTGACGGCAAGAGCGGAGGACAAGATGCGTGGGAACGGAGCAACATAGGGTGAGAGCGCGGAACAGGAGAGACACATCACATATAACTGTGTTTGACAGTTACGACTGGCGCCTAGGACAGGGCGCTGGCTGCGGCTGTTCATGCGCTGGCGTGGTGAAGCCGCCACGGCAGCACGACGGCACAGCGGTACGGCGACCCAGTGGCACGGCGGCGCGGCGGCACTGCAGCACTGCGGCACTGAGTCGGGGGTTTCATGCTGCTCAATCGCCAACTGTGTCGGGGGTTTTGTGCGGAATATGTTGGGGGTGGCACGCGCGCTTCTTCTGAATTTTGTTGTTTTGGGCTGCGAATTCTATTGCAACTCTTGCTTTGGGGTACTGGGTTACCGCTCGGGGGTGTTCAAGGTTAATAATCTTGAAACACAATTTCTGCAATTTGGGTCAACGGCTTTAAAGTAGCTAGCTAGAAAGAGGAGGTCATGGAATGGCGTGAGGTTTTAGGCTAGGGAAAAGTATTGAGAGAGAAGGGGTTTGGAATAGAAGAGAGGGATACAAGAAGGGATGTTGTACCCTCTAGAGTAGAATCCAGTCACACCTACCAAGCCTACCATTATTTGAATGTCAAATATATACCGTAATTTAACAGTACTCTTTAAGAGCACTTACCCATATAGCCTATAACTAAACATATAACACATGTATAAGCTGACACACCCCCTAGGCTAGATAAGGGGCAGTACCTATCAAGAGATATCCAGCCCAGGGCAGCACTACTACCGTATTCCCCGGTATATACACTGAGGGAAAAAACCGTCCGGATGTTTGGCACGAAGTTGGGTTTTTAGGCTTTAAGACTACTGTATGGTAAACCTGCAAGATGCATGGTGGTACGCGTTGGGAGAGGCACAAAGTGGATGCGTTCACAGCACTAAGAACTAGAATAGTACATTGGATCCAACTCATATTCCAAAAGATATACAACGAGTACATCCGGACAGTTTTTTCCCAGGACAAAGAGCAAACTTCCGAACAACGTTTCTAGTACCTAGTCCACCTACTCTTGGCGTTGATCACCATCCGCACCCTCCTAGGCATGTTATCTATGGGGTTAGTGCAGACCTTTGCATGAAGCTTCTCGCACTCTTCCTGGACCCACCATTTTGCATAAGGGGGTGAGCACAAGGAAAATTGCAAAGTATTTGAGCGTATGCATAAGTATTGTACACAAATTCTGAATGAATGTTATCTCAGAGACTAGCCAAGCCGAGGGGTGGCCAAAGATGCCATTAGTTAAATGGTCCCGGCTTATCATGGGTCGTCTTCGTCGTATCGTTCTAGGGTAAAATCACGAATAGAGTGGCAAAATCTAGCATTCCCGCCACGAATCTTAGGGTAACAGAGCACGGTCGACTGAACATCCTTTCACTGTGTGAACCATGTTAAAATCCGCGGGTCTAGTGACGGGGCAGCAGTCGAAGAAACCTCGACTGTTTGGGAAGAATATCTGGATTGAGGTCTGGTGAGAAAAAGGGTCACTCCAGCGCAACATACTTATGCTCTCCAAGGCATT